TTTCCAACACCATGTAGGAAATTTGCCGAACCAAACATATACTGGATTGTTAATGGAGAAACTAAGTCTCCCCCCCCCCCTAAAAACAAATCTCTCTGAATTTAAACAAGAGGGGCTGGGCACCCGAGACCCCTTCACGACACCCCTAGGCTTATTTTTAAAACAGTGCCAGGACAGCTTTTATTATTAGGTTCTCGGTAAATGGTTTGGATCCATTTGAGGAGTAAATATTCCTTCATAGAAATTTAAGTTTTTAAAATTAGTGTTTTAAGGTTTACCGTCTCACCCTATATTTTCCCATAATGATAACATGATCCACTTCTAGAGTACTTCTTGGATTTTTGTTCAAGGTATACGATTGTAATTATTTCCCTCGAAATGATTATTTCTTCCTGAAGGAAAGAGATTCTTTTCGTAAGTTATTTGAATAATGTTTTTATCAAGGTATTTCATACCAAGTATGATTAGGTTTTTAATTTTTTGAAAGAATTCATTTCCAGTTTACCGAAATTTTCAAAATATAGTGAACAGAACAAATTCTACTTAATAAATGGCTTTGGTTAAAGATTTTTGTAGACTTCATTAAGATCATTGGATTATCTGCGACCAAAAAAGATGTTTTTAATTTCGATCTTTAGTTGGCACATCATTTTTAAAACAGCATAATCCTCCAAAAATAAATAAGCTCTCCTCGTGAGAAAAAAGCCTCCTCGTTATTGCTGATCGTCTTCCAAAACACATAAATCTTTCATCCCGCAACATTTTTAAATTAACAGCTTCGCAAATGTGTTGATCTGTAATCTTCTACATTCCTCTGTGCTGCTCTGTGTCCCTCGCTGTTTCTCTGTGCTTCTCTGTGTTGCTCTGCGCTGCTCTGTGTCCCTCTGTGTTTCTTTGTGTTGATCTGTGTTGATCTGTATTGCTCTGCACTGCTTTGTGTCCCTCGCTATTTCTTTGTGCTTCTCTGTGTTGCTCTGTATTGCTCTGTGCCCCTCGCTGTTTCTTTGTGCTTCTCTGTCTTGCTCTGTATTGCGCTGCATTGCTCTGTGTTACTTTGTGCATCTCTGTGTTGCTCTGTGTTGCTCTGTGTTGCTCTGTGTTGCTCTGTGTTGCTCTGTGTTGCTCTGTGTTGCTCTGTGTTGCTCTGTGTTGCTCTGTATTGCTCTGTATTGCGCTGCATTGCTATGTGCCCTCTGTGTTTCTTTGTGCTTCTCTGTGTTGCTCTATATTGCTCTGTTTTGCGCTTAATTGCTCTGTGCCGTCTGTGTTTCTCTGTGCTTCTCTGTGTTGCTCTGTGTTGCTTTATATTCCTCTGTGTTCCTCTGCATTGCTCTGTGTCCCTCGATGTTTCTTTGTGTTCCTCTCTGCATTGCTCTGTGTTCTTCTGTGATTCTTTGTGTTGGTCTATGCTGCTCTGTGTTTCTCTGCATTGCTCTGTCCCTCTGTGTTTCTCTGTGTTTCTTTGTGCTTCTCTGTGTCGCTCTGTGTTGCTCTGTGTTGCTCTGTGTTGCTCCGTGTTGCTCTGTATTGCTCTGTATTGCTCTGTGTTTCTCTGTGTTTCTTTGTGTTTCTTTATGTTGCTCTGTATTGCTCTGTATTGCTCGGTATTGCTCTGTATTGCTCTGCATTGCTCTGCATTGCTGTGTGCCCCTCGCTGTTTTTTGTGTTTCTCTGTGTTGCTTTGCATTGCTCTGTATTGCGCTGCATTGCTCTGTGCCCTATGCGTTTCTTTGTGCTTCTCTGTGTTGCTCTGTGTTGCTTTATATTCTTCTGTGTTCCTCTGCATTGCACTGTGTTCCTCTTCATTGCTCTGTGTCCCTCTATGTTTCTTTGTGTTCCTCTCTGCATTGCTCTGTGTTCTTCTGTGATTCTTTGTGTTGCTCTATGCTGCTCTGTGTTTCTCTGCATTGCTCTGTCCCTCTGTGTTTCTCTGTGTTTCTTTGTGCTTCTCTGTGTCGCTCTGTGTTGCTCTGTGTTGCTCCGTGTTGCTCTGTATTGCTCTGTATTGCTCTGTGTTTCTCTGTGTTTCTTTGTGTTTCTCTATATTGCTCTGTATTGCTCTGTATTGCTCGGTATTGCTCTGTATTGCTCTGCATTGCTCTGCATTGCTGTGTGCCCCTCGCTGTTCTTTGTGTTTCTCTGTGTTGCTTTGCATTGCTCTGTATTGCGCTGCATTGCTCTGTGCCCTATGTGTTTCTTTGTGCTTCTCTGTGTTGCTCTGTGTTGCTTTATATTCTTCTGTGTTCCTCTGCATTGCACTGTGTTCCTCTGCATTGCTCTGTGTCCCTCTATGTTTATTTGTGTTGCTCTCTGCATTGCTCTGTGTTCTTCTATGATTCTTGTGTTGCTTTGTGTTGCTCTGTGTTGCTCTGCATTGCTTTGTGTCCCTCTATGTTCCTTGTGTTCCTCTCTGCATTGCTCTGTATTGCACTGCATTGCTATGTGCCCTCTGTGTTTCTTTGTGCTTCTCTGTGTTGCTCTATATTGCTCTGTTTTGCGCTTAATTGCTCTGTGCCGTCTGTGTTTCTTTGTGCTTCTCTGTGCTTCTCTGTGTTGCTCTGTGTTGCTCTGTATTGCTCTGTATTGCTCTGTGTTTCTCTGTGTTTCTTTGTGTTTCTCTATATTGCTCTGTATTGCTCTGTATTGCTCGGTATTGCTCGGTATTGCTCTGTATTGCTCTGCATCGCTGTGTGCCCCTCGCTGTTTTTTGTGTTTCTCTGTGTTGCTTTGCATTGCTCTGTGCCCTATGTGTTTCTTTGTGCTTCTCTGTGTTGCACTGTGTTGCTTTATATTCTTCTGTGTTCCTCTGCATTGCACTGTGTTCCTCTGCATTGCTCTGTGTCCCTCTATGTTTATTTGTGTTGCTCTCTGCATTGCTCTGTGTTCTTCTATGATTCTTGTGTTGCTCTGTGCTGCTCTGTGTTGCTCTGCATTGCTTTGTGTCCCTCTATGTTCCTTGTGTTCCTCTCTGCATTGCTCTGTGTTCTTCTGTGATTCTTTGTGTTGCTCTGTGCTGCTCTGTCTTGCTCTGCATTGCTCTGTGTCCCTCTGTGTTTCTTTGTGTTGCTCTGTGTTTTTCTGTATTGCTCTGTATTGCTCTGTATTGCTCTGTATTGCTCTGTATTGATCTGTATTGCTCTGTATTGCTCTGTGTTTCTCTGTGTTTCTCTATATTGCTCTGTATTGCTCTGTATTGCTCGGTATTGCTCGGTATTGCTCTGTATTGCTCTGCATTGCTGTGTGCCCCTCGCTGTTTTTTGTGTTTCTCTGTGTTCCTCTGCATTGCACTGTGTTCCTCTGCATTGCTCTGTGTCCCTCTATGTTTATTTGTGTTGCTCTCTGCATTGCTCTGTGTTCTTCTGTGATTCTTGTGTTGCTCTGTGCTGCTCTGTGTTGCTCTGCATTGCTCTGTGTCCCTCTATATTTCTTTGTGTTCCTCTCTGCATTGCTCTGTGTTCTTCTGTGATTCTTTGTGTTGCTCTGTGCTGCTCTGTGTTGCGCTGCATTGCTCTGTGTCCCTCTATATTTCCTTGTGTTCCTCTCTGAATTGCTCTGTGTTCTTCTGTGATTCTTTGTGTTGCTCTGTGCTGTTCTGTGTTGCGCTGCATTGCTCTGTGTCCCTCTATGTTTCTTTGTGTTCCTCTCTGCATTGCTCTGTGTTCTTCTGTGATTCTTTGTGCTTCTCTGTGTCGCTCTGTGTTGCTCTGTTCTGCTCCGTGTTGCTCTGTATTGCTCTGTATTGCTCTGCATTGCTCTGTGCCCTCTGTGTTTCTTTGTGCTTCTCTGTGTCGCTCTTTGTTGCTCTGTATTGCTCCGTGTTGCTCTGTATTGCTCTGTATTGCTCTGTATTGCTCTGTATTGCGCTGCATTGCTCTGTGCCCTCTGTGTTTCTTTGTAATACTCTGCATTGCTCTGTGTTTCTCTGTGTTTCTCTGTATTGCTCTGTGTCCCTCTGTGTTCCTTTGTATTCCTCTGCATTGCTCTCTGTCCCTCTGTGTTTCTTTGTGTTGCTCTACGTTGCTATGCATTGCTCTGTGTTGCTCTTTGTTCCTCTGTGTTTCTCTGTGTTCCTCTGCTCTGTTCTGTGTCCCCTATGTTTCTTTGTGCTGCTCTCTCTTGCTCTTTATTGCTTGTGTTCCTTCGAGTTTTTCTCTTTTCTTCTGTGTTGTTAATTTCAAAGGCTTATTAGATTCACCTAGTCCACTTTTTCCCTTAAAGGAGATTTAGAAAGAATGTGGAACTATGCTGCATGTTCCTCTTGAATTTTTGGTAGTAAAATGTTTTTTTAAAAAACCCCTTTTCCTACCCTTTATCTACTTTGGTATGATTTATAAGGTAAGAAAAGATTTGTTAGGGTATCCATGTATCTATGTATCTCTTAATGATTGCATTCCAAATCACCCCCCCCCCCCTAAATATTTTTCTCTGTCTTTTATGCTATTTTAAGCGCATTTTAAGACATCTTCAAAGTTTATTAGCATTCTTGGAATTTTCCTTGGCTAGATCTTACCGTAATTTTGCTGCCATAATTGTTCTGGTCATATTTCATTGGAACTGAAAGAGCTTTCGTCAAATTGCCTTATTTTCTTATCGTGTTGTTGTAAAGTTGCCAATAACTTTAGACATCGTTCGTTTTTCCTCTGCAATTTGCTGTCTAAAAAATTACTTCTTGTGATTTGAAAAAGTGCCTGAAAAAGAGGCAAGTAAATAACTTTATAAAAACTTTTTCCTACCTCTTGAAATAAGCGTTTATTTGGATCCTACGAATCTTCATCCCTTGTTGCATGCCGGCTGATAACATTCCATTTTCTAGTTGAATCTCTTGGCTGTTCAGAAATATTCATCAAAAAACGAATTCAGGCAAATTATAGGACGAATCTAGGTTAGGACTAACCCCTCCAACAATTTTTGGAAAAAAACACGACCATTGGACATTGCCCTTATCCTTATCACCCAAGAAGATAAACCCACCAAGAAAAGATATCACTTTCTCTTTTCAGATAGGGGCCCATGATTCAGCAAGATCTACGACAGCTTCAGCCGAAAAAAGAATTGTCTGCCATTTGGAAGTCAGCTATGAAACGAAGTGTAGAACGGAGGTTTTACACAACAGTCGTGTTGAAATCTCATGCACAGCGATATACCAGCATTTGAAGGCCATTTTAATGAACTGAAATTCTACTTGTTCCGTCTAAAAAGAGGGTAACATTTTTATTGAGTATCATATAATTGCCGTTTTTTCCATTGCATATAATTTAATCCTTAGATGATAGGCCATATTGGACTTCTATTTCTCCGATCCATTCTTTAGATTTACATGTACATACCGACATCCCCATTTAAGGTTTTTATAAGCTTTTACTCCCCTCCCCCTCTTTTTAAGGATATTATCGATATATTGCAGTTATCAGGACCTCATATATTAAAGGTTGGACACACTGGGCCAAAATCCCTTCATTAAAGTCCCACCTGTTGATACCTGCTCTTTGCCTAGAATGAATTAATGCCCTATAATATAGTTTAGCTTACAAAGATGTAGAGTTATACATTATTAGATTGAAACCTTTTTTGATTGAAACGATAATAATGCAATGCATTATAGTCATTGTAACAGTTATTATAAATCCAACACCATATACGCTCCTATATTCCCCTTTGCAACTCGGTACCTACACACCTTTAGCTAACCTTATCAGTAAAGTCAGCTGTTAGGAAGCAATTGCGTTTTTGATGTGTTTAAAATTAAAATATGTGTTTGATTTCAATTTAAAGTTGCTGTGAAGTTTAAGAGTACATTAGTATTTTATGCCATTAGACTGTGACAACCAATGCTGAATCAGCTAATGGAGATGCCTTGCAATGTCCTTCACCCCTAAATAAATGTATCGATCCCTATTGTTTCTCCTTCCTTGTTGAGACAATGAATCAGTAAATTTCCACCCATCGTTTTCATAGGACGCTAAGACCTTAAATCAGACACATTGCCAGTCTTTTGTAGTAATTGTTCTCTCGTTCTCATGGGGTTGAACTACAATCGCCGAGAAGTAGATGAAAATTGAATAACTAGCACTGCTAGCACGCACCATAGAAAGTTAAGAAAAGTTAAAGCACTCGTGCTAAGTAGCAAATTTTAGGGCTTTCCCTTTGAGTTCTCTCCATCCACCCTTTACAACGCTGGCAAACCCCGATTTCAATAACACTAACAAGAATTTATAAACAATGTTGATACAAGAAGTTTGCTTTTAACGGCTGACTGCCAAGTATTCCCCTTACCACAACTTCCCCTCTCTATGCAGACACGCCTAATCATTTATCAGAGCTTATGGTGCAGAAAATTGGTCTTGCAAAGCAACCTTGGCTGCAACACTCTGGATACAGAGGGGCTTTTGAGTTTGCAAGGATTTCCACAGAGGGTGTTGTCTCTACGGCAAATAAAGAAGTTGCTTTTAAGTGTCGTTGCTATTATTTCTTTACGTGATGTATTCAGTGCTCGATTCCAAAGGAAGTTGGTATCGTTAACATCAGTACCCCCTCTGGCTACGGACATGCTAACCATTTTAAATGTCAGCTGCAGGTTCCAAGAGAACACGGGGTATTTATGCATTCCGGTAGGACATAGTGACTTCTCCGTTGTAAGAAGAAAGTGCCGGATGCATTAATATCTTATTTCAGAAGAAAGTTTATGTGTAAAACTAATTGATTACCATAGACGAGACACTTTTCTTTAAAGAGAGGGATGACTTTACACTAAGCAAAAGCAATATCCTTTTAAGTTCGGCTATGTACTGAATGTTGAGCGAGGAGAGAACCTCCCCAGTTGAGCCTCTAGCTTTACAAATCGTCTATTGAATTTCTTTTGTTAAATGTGAGAAGTCTTTGAATTGGTAGTTTGCTCAAGAGAAGTATTTTTTGTAGCTTCGTTATTCAGCCGATTTTTTCGTTGAATTGTGAAATGATGAACTGAGACATTCACCTCTTCGTGTATATTTTTTGTTTATTTTTCCTGCTTTTCCTAACTTGGAAAATTGACAATTTTCGCAAGCCGGTCACTACATTCCTTTCTTTACACAAAGAGAGCCTTTTGTCTCCGATTGAATAGGCAGTGTTTCAACTAAATGTTGCATTTTTGGCAAAAGTATACATTGTATCAATTTATACGTTATACCACAGGATGCAGGAGATTGTGCTCTTCCTTCTGGTCTTTTCGCTGGGACGATCGGACCATTTTTGGCAAAGTTATTCGACTTTTTCTCAGTTTTGACCGAGGGGGATTCAGGATTGCACAAAGCAGTTCAGAAAAAACAATAGGCTTGTGATTCCCAGAGTTTGTAAAGATCTCAGTTTTTGGTGATTTACTCCTAAACTATAATAGCTATGAATTTCTAGTTTAATTCATGAGACGGGCCGTTCGATGCTCGATTTTTTGAGCCATTCCCCGTATTTTTAGGACCAGTTTTAGCCGAGTTATTAAGGATTTTGTCTCGAAAATCGCCAAAAAACGGTTTTTTGGACTTTAAAAATCGAAAACAGCTGATAAAAATCTGCTGATACTTTCTAAAAATCGAGGCAAAAATCACCTAAATTCTGATATATAGCTTTCTCTGTTTGAAGCTCGCGTTTCTTTTTAAAATCGATTTTTCTGAAAAGGTCACTTTTCAAATTTTCTCAAATTTGCATCGCAGCGTCAAGGCCTGTCCAAACCCGTAGATGCGGTGGCGGGCGACACTTTTTACTGAAAAACGGTATTTTCTTGGAGTTTTAAAGCGGGGGTAAGCATTTAACGTGCTAAACATGCACTTTAAAGTCGCTTTTGATGCGATTTTAGCGTTATTTCTTGGTTTCAAAACATTTTGAAAAAATTTAGTACATGTCACTAGCCGCCCGTAGCCCTTCAGGCTTTAATGGAGAGAAACACATGAAAATCACTCGATTTTCCCATTTTAAGCGTTTGAGTCGATAAACAGCCGTCTACACACTCTCTTCTTGCATGTTGAATCTGTTTAATCTTTTACAAAGGGATTAATTGCAACAAAATCTTTGCAACTTCACTTTTCCTCGATATGAAGGTCTGGGAATCCCCTTCCATTGGCATATTCAGGCTTGCAAACTTTCTATTGTCTTAACGGGTTACCCTTTGGTTTTTGCCTTTCTGAGGCTTTAATATCAATATGATTGAGAGAAATAGAGCATAGATGCAGTTATCTATCGACTCAAACGCTTAAAAAGCGAATATCGAGCGATTTTCGTGTGTTTCTCTCCATTAAAGCAGATCGGGCGACGGGCGGCTAGTGACAGTTTAGAGAATTTAGTACATATCACTAGCCGCCCGTCGCCCGATCTGCTTTAATGGAGAGAAACACACGAAAATCGCTCGATATTCGCTTTTTAAGCGTTTGAGTCGATAGATAACTGCATCTATGTTCTATTTCTCTCAATCATATTGATATTAAAGCCCCAGAAAGGCAAAAACCAAAGGGTAACCCGGTAAGACAATAGAAAGTTTGCAAGCCTGAATATGCCAATGGAAGGGGATTCCCAGACCTTCATATCGAGGAAAAGTGAAGTTGCAAAGATTTTGTTGCAATTAATCCCTTTGTAAAAGATTAAACAGATTCAACATGCAAGAAGAGAGTGTGTAGACGGCTGTTTATCGACTCAAACGCTTAAAATGGGAAAATCGAGTGATTTTCATGTGTTTCTCTCCATTAAAGCCTGAAGGGCTACGGGCGGCTAGTGACATGTACTAAATTTTTTCAAAATGTTTTGAAACCAAGAAATAACGCTAAAATCGCATCAAAAGCGACTTTAAAGTGCATGTTTAGCATGTTAAATGCTTACCCCCGCTTTAAAACTCCAAGAAAATACCGTTTTTCAGTAAAAAGTGTCGGCCGCCACCGCATCTACGGGTTTGTACAGGCCTTGACGCTGCGATGCAAATTTGAGAAAATTTGAAAAGTGCACTTTTCAGAAAAATCGATTTTAAAAAGAAACGCGAGCTTCAAACAGAGAAAGCTATATATCAGAATTTAGGTGATTTTTGCCTCGATTTTTAGAAAGTATCAGCAGATTTTTATCAGCTGTTTTCGATTTTTAAAGTCCAAAAAACCGTTTTTTGGCGATTTTCGAGACAAAATCCTTAATAACTCGGCTAAAACTGGTCCTAAAAATACGGGGAATGGCTCAAAAAATCGAGCATCGAACGGCCCGTCTCATGAATTAAACTAGAAATTCATAGCTATTATAGTTTAGGAGTAAATCACCAAAAACTGAGATCTTTACAAACTCTGGGAATCACAAGCCTATTGTTTTTTCTGAACTGCTTTGTGCAATCCTGAATCCCCCTCGGTCAAAACTGAGAAAAAGTCGAATAACTTTGCCAAAAATGGTCCGATCGTCTCAGCGAAAAGACCAGAAGGAAGAGCACAATCTCCTGCATCCTGTGGTATAACGTATAAATTGATACAATGTATACTTTTGCCAAAAATGCAACATTTAGTTGAAACACTGCCTATTCAATCGGAGACAAAAGGCTCTCTTTGTGTAAAGAAAGGAATGTAGTGACCGGCTTGCGAAAATTGTCAATTTTCCAAGTTAGGAAAAGCAGGAAAAATAAACAAAAAATATACACGAAGAGGTGAATGTCTCAGTTCATCATTTCACAATTCAACAAAAAAATCGGCTGAATAACGAAGCTACAAAAAATACTTCTCTTGAGCAA